GGCTATTTTTTGTTGCAGTTTGGCCGGGGCTGGGTTTGAACCCGCCACCCTCGGTATATGGGGCCGGCGCCCTACTCACTGAGCCACAGGTGCCTCCCGGTCATATGTTCTTGAAAGAATATTGCAGAAGGGCTGTGTCTTCTCCTTGCATATCAGTTGATGTGGTTCATTACTCAGGATAATAACCTTAATCTCTAGGCTATTGAAGCGTTTGCCAGTTTTCTCCATTGTAGAATTATTATTTTTTCCTTTGTAATTAATTACTATCATATGAGGAAATACCGAGACAGTAACTATTCTATTTCTTGTTATATTTTTCCCTAACAAATTTTAGTAACTGTCGAGATTCCTATCAGTAATAATTATTACTGTGGTACTTATTGAATGATGACATTTTATTTCCATAATTACCTTAAAATGCTACTTAAAGAAACATTTTTATGATATGAATAATTACACTTGCTGCCCACATCCTCAAGCAAAGGGGAAAGGCCTGTCTAACTGCATTGTACCTCAGACCTCGGTTCCGGCTGCCGGGTCAGCAGGTGTCTGTTTCTCCGTTCTCAGTGTGCTCTTGACTGGAGAATGACCAGGCAACAAACACAAGGTAAGCAGGAGATGAAGTTTACTGAGGGAGAGAAACGTAGGTTTCTAGAGCAAAGTACTTTCACCACAGTTATAGAAGACGAAAGGGTCCTTGTCATAACAGAGGCCCTGGGTATGGTGTGGGGTCTCCTGTTGTGGAGTCTGGATTGGGTCCTCCTCCTGGTTCAGACATCACCATGCGACCACTCTGATGGACAAGGTTTGACATGGTTAGGTTACTATGGGTCACTTTTCAGATCATTCTGCCTGGGCTACCTGGGCTGCCTGGTCTGTGGGGTGTTCCTCTTTCCCTTAGTTGTGACATTTATTCAGGGTAGAATCCAGTGTGGGGCAGCACCAAGATGGGGTACCAACCTGCTTTCTTCCCAGGTGGGGCAATTGCTCGAGGCAGCACAGACGGGCATCCACCTTTGTGATAGTGGAATCCCACTCTAGCTAACACCGTGACAAAATATTAGTGCAATAAATCACACTACCTTCTATGTTAGTCAATGACATTTATACGATGCTGGCAGGAATGGGGTGTCTCTTTTTACAGGTGAACCTCTATGCAGTACGCAGGGAAAGGAAAAGGCACAGTCCTGGCTGCTGAGCAGCTCTGCTTCCCTGCAGTGATTTACACTCTGGCTCCTGATTCATTGTCTCTCTCCCGAAATTTTCTCAATATTTCTTTGTCTGATGGTTTCACTTACATTTTTTGACTTTTTTATATTGTTATTTTTATGACACGAATCCATTCACAAAGGCAGAGCCTTTCTGACCCAGTCACTCCTCCTGTGTCCTACCTTCCAGCATTTTTGCATTAAGGAGCGAGTTTCCAGCACATGAACTTTGGAGGACATATTCCAACCAGACCATTCTACCCCTGGCCCACGAATTAATTTCCTATCACTCGCAAAATACTTTCAATCCATCCCAATAACCCACAAGTCTTAACTCTTTCCAGCACCAACTCCAGAGTCCAGAATCCAGAGTCTAATTCCAGTCTGAGTAAGACACAAGGCAGGATTTATCCTGGGGCTAGCTGTGATCCAGTGAAATCAAAACCACTTATCTACTTCCAAAACAGGTCTAGGACAGACATAAAATAAACAGCCCTGATTGAAAAAGGAGAAATAGACAAGAAAGGAGCAAGTAGCCCCCACCCTTCCCCTGTGGCCTGGCCAGACTGACTTAGTTTGCCCAGAAGCCCTCATGGTTTGAGTCTAGTGCCTGTGGATTTTTTAAGCTGAGCTGCAGTCTGGGGCTCCAAGGTTCAGCAGTCCTGGCACCTCAGGGATGTGGTGGCATCTCTCCTCTCCTAGCCATACCTTTTAAAACTTTGTTTACATGGCCAATCTCCTAATCTTCAAAATCTTTCTGTTCTACTTCTCTTTTAATTAAAAATCTCATCTTTAAAACATTTTCTTCTTTAATTTTGCTGTAAATAGCCACAAGGAGCCATGCAGCACACTTAATGCTCTGCTGCCTCAATATTTCTTCTGCATATAACTTAGTTTATTGTTTTTAAATTTCACCTTCTATAGAGCCCCAGTACCTGGATATAAATCAGCTATAGTTTCTTTGCCACTTTATAACAAAGCTGACCTTTAGTTAGGTTTCCAGCCGTTTCTGCCATTACCATCTGAGACCTTATCAGAAAGGCCTTTACATCCATAGTTCTACCAATATTCTGGCCATGGCGGTGTAAGTAATTGCAGCAGGAATGGGTGTCTCTTTTTTACATATGAACCTCTGTGCAATACACAGAAAACGGAAAAGATACGATCCTTTTCCCTGCTGAGAGCCTCATCAGAATTTCCATAATGCTCCTAGATTTCTCATAGCAATCCAGGCTTCTCTGAGCCTATTCCTTCAGTTTCTGCTGGTCTCCACCTGTTACCCACTTTCAAATCTGCTTCTACATTTCTGCGCATTTGTTACAGCAAAACCTATTTCTGTTATCAATTTCTGTCTTAGTCCATTATTGTTGCTGTAACAGAGCACCTGCGACTGGGTAATTTTCAAAGAAGAGAAAGTTGTTTCTTATAAGACTGGGGGCTGGGAAGTTTCAGGTAGAACCAGAACATCTAACCACTGGTCTCATATCTTTCACCAGATATTTAGAACTTAATAAAAATGAAAGCATATAGCATATGTGATAGTGTGTGCAGGTGCTTTTGTTGAGAATAATGTCTGTGATATCTATTCCCAGTTGCACATATCTGCAATTCCATTCTCTTTTATTGCTGGGAGTATAGTACAATATTTGTATTAATTGAAGTAGATGTTTTGCAAACAAGAATGCCAAAATAGTCTTCTGAAACATATAATCCAAGCAATTGTCGAAACAATACATAGGAATGCCAGAGAAGAGTTCTGCTCAGTCTCAACCATATCCAAACAATCCTTGATTATTATATAATCAAAGAGTAAAAC